CATGATCCTGATTTGGGGCTGCTATCATAAATTAGACATATATACTTCACATTGTAAGTCTGGTCAAACCAGACCAGGAAATCTGTTTCATCAGTTTCATGTTGCAAAACTCTGTTGCTTTTTTGAACAGTCACTGGTGCTTTGTAAACATCACATGAAATGAGAAACTTTCATTACCACAATTGAAGACTTGGTGACAGAAGAAAGCACTTTCAAAAAATTGTAAAAGAGTGGTTTCACAAGGAAGTTCTTTTTTTTCCTTAGTTAAAAATACTATGTATGTACTGTTCAGAGCCTCACTTCACTGCAAAGGAGTGAATGCCAGGAGTTCTCACCAACAGCTGTCAGTATAGTGAAGTGAGTTAATTTGTAAAATCTGTAATAAAAAGGTTCCATAATCAGCCTAACTGTTCAAGAAGTTCTTATTCTCTTATTTTCAGTCAGGAAATGATTATTTTTATCATAATTTATAAAGTTACAGTCAAAAAAGTAAGAGAAACCAACTTGGACAGTCAGGAAAACCACTGAATTTAAATTTTATCTGTGGTATAGCTTTCTGGTCTCAAGCAGGCTGAGACTCATTAGACACTGCCTGAACACAGGACAAAAATTACCAAGAATTTTAAAAGTTACTTTAAATCGTATTCTGCGACTTTTGAATTGCTAGGAATAACATTTTATTTCATGAGTGAGACTTAATGAGGAGCTTTTGCAAAGTATCATCATAGAATCAGTGTGTCACTCAGGTGGAAATTGACCTTGGGAGATCTTGGGCCCACCTCCTGCTCAAAACAGGGTCATCTATGGGATAAGAGTTGGTAGCTCAGAGCTTTATGCAATTGGATATTGAAAACCTCCGATGATGGTGACAGGACAATCTCCTTAGGTAACTTGTTCCACTGCTCAGCTGTCCTCAGAGGGAAAAGTGGGTTTTTTTCCCCTCTTACATCCAGTTTGAATCTCTCTTGTTTCCATTTATGTCTGCTGTCTCTAGTCCTCACACTATGCACTGCTCTGAAGAGCATGGCTTTATCTTCACAATGAACTCCTCATACATAGGGGCAGTTTGCTATTTCTTTATGTTCCCCAAAGCCACTGCATGTCTGGGCTGAAACAGCCCCATCTCCTATGGCAGGACTAACAAGTGCTGAGCTGATCTGCTTCATCTGCTGCCTGTGACTCCGCTGGTGCTAGTCAGGCCTTGGCTGGTGCCCAGGTTGCTGCTCACCTGAGCATCTTCTCAGCAGTGCTGCTCCCTGGCTGGGGAGCCATTGGTTGGCACTGAAGCCAGAGGGTTATTTAATTCCAGGTGCAACATGTTGTATTTGACCTTTCTGAATCTCACAAGGTTTCTGTCACCACATTCCTCCAGCCTTTTCCTTGTGACTGTATTGGTTTGTCCTTCTAGTTTGGTGTCACCTCCACACCTTATGTGTGGCTCCATTGCTTTCTATCACCTCACTGATAAAAAGAGTACACCAGGGAAGGTCCCAGACCCCTGCACTACTGCACCTGCTACTGGCCTGCAGGTGAAGTAGGACCAGTTAACTGCTGTCCTCTGAGACTTGCCATCCAACCTGTTTTCATTTCCTCATCCAGACAGTAACATCTGAACTCAGACACAAGAGTATTTTGGGCGAGAGTGTTGGTCTTCCAAAAGTTGAGATAAATGACGTGCACTGCTCTTCCCTCATTTACAAATCATTTTATCACAGAAGGAAACCAGGTCGGTCAAGCATGATCAGTCTCCAAGTGGCAGAATCTGGCCATAATAGGGGTTGGGAAGAGGGGATGTGGGGAACTGACACCACAAAATGCTTAGAAAGTTACTCACTTTTAAATTCTTCAGATCTTCTTCGATATTTTTTCCTAGATTTTGGTAGTAAAATGGCTTGTATCTTTCACTAATTTCTGCAAAAAGAAAATAACTAAGTGAAAGTGGTTTTCAATGGAAAATAAAAGTGACATAATGTTAACAATCTTGATGGATAAGGATAGAATAAAGACTTCTATCAGGTCAGAAACAGCAAAGTTATACATATATTTGGAATTTATTCACATGGTACATTTAGCCTTAAAACAGTAATAAGAACAGGATAACTTCCACGGGGTTTTTTTTGTTGTTGTATTTCTTTTTAGGGTGAAACCTCTCTGTATGTGACCTGTAGCTGAGAGCACCTTTCCTTGACTTGCATATGGGAAAATTAGAAGCTAAGACCCAGTACTAGCATAAGCTTAATCTATTAGCAGTAGATTATGTATGTTAAATATGGAGATAGTAGATGGGTTCCTCCTGGTACACAAATTTCCTCTGAGTATTTAAGTACATGCCTGCCATATATGAAGCTGTTGGTGCCCCTGTCTAAATACAAACCTCAATTTCCTGTTATATGTTGGGGTTTTCTTTGGGGTTGTGGTTTTTTTGTTGTTGTTTTGGAGTTTTTTTGTGTCAGCTTTTTTTTTTTTGGCACTATATATTGAGATAGAAAGAAGAGATGAGGAGACATAGGATTTTGACTTATTTCCTGAATGCTCTTATAATTTCTCCTTCCCAGACCATTCAGCTAAGACTTCTACTGACTGCAAGCGTTTTGGGATCTGACCATATGAAAGGATGATGAGCTAGTCAAAGTCAGTTGGATTGCTTATGGAACAATTACTAGGACAGCTTTTGAATCTAGAATATTTTGAATAGGATATTTTCTCAGTCATAGTCAAGATATACTACATCCCTTAATGTTAGCTTTTCTAAAAAATTCAGCAGGAAGATTATACTACACTGAAGAGGAATTATCATCAGGTATAAAGTGTCGTAGCTTCATCCACTCACTAGTATTTCTCAAATCTGTAAATGCTTGTCCCTGACCAAAAATGGTCAGGGTACAGGAAGCATGCTTTACAGGGCATGTGAATTGATATTTTGGTTTTCAAAGAAAAAAATTATATTTCCAGAGGAAAACACTCAAGTTTGTTTTGCTCCATTGCAAACTATTGATGGACACAAAACAAAAAGAATCCTAAAGCAATGCCTTACCTGCAAAGGTTGGCCGTTTCTCTGACTCTTGCTCCCAGCATTGTTTCATTATGTCAATAATTTCCACTGGACATTTATCAGTGATCTCCTTTAAGTCTGGTCTGTTTCCATTTATGACGCCAAAGCAAATCTGGGCTTCATTTATACCATCTGAAAAATAAAATTTCCTATCAGATCCTGATCGCAGGTTTTGTTACCTTTCCATAGGTAAAAGAAACAATGAAGCAGCTCCCTGTGTGTTTGTGGATATGTAAAATATGGTTTCAAAGATGTCCAAGTTACATCTACAGATATTTCATATTAGTGAATTTGAATCCACTGCCCTAACTTCCATGGATTAGAGATTTATTTTAAGATTAATGGATTTACTTTCATATGTAAGACATTCCCAGTGTGAGTAAGGGTGACAGAACTAGCTCTCTAGAACCTGCATCTAGCTTATGCTCTGCACTGGGTATAAACACAGAGATGGCCACAAAGGTAACATTTAGCCATTTAGTTAGCAAAAAATCCATTCAAAATTATAAACGCGTTACTCTGGAATTCCACAGTTGGCTCCTATGTATGGCTAACATTAGTGCATGTCGAGAAGTTAGCACCACGCAGCTGAGAAGCAGTAACTGTGTGTGATCATTCCTGTTGAAAGAAAAACCACATGTAACTAGTCCACCTCAGGAAACAGCGGACATCAAAGTTTCCATTCTGGCCCACATGAGGTTTGTCTATCTTCTGCCACTGAGTCAGTTTGTGCCCACACCATACAGATGTGAAGAGATTCAGCTCACACCTGCATTTTATTCAGATGTTCCTGTCCGTGCTTAGGAGTCAGGAATGATGCAACTAATGCCTCTTGCTGGCCATGAGGTGCCAAACAGGCCCTATTTTAGGCCATGGGTGATTTAATCTACTAATCTTAATTTTATAACTTTAAATGCTTAACATTTGTAACTTCATTTTGTGATAGCACTTTCAGAAGTAACTTACTTTCATATGGTTCCTTGTTAGCAAAAATTGCCCAGATCACTATGCCAAAGCTGTAAACATCTGATTTTTCCACTGGTTTTGCATTAACACTGAGTAAATGCTCTGGGGCCATATAGAAAAGAGTCCCAGCATTGTTCTGGCAAGTGCTCTTGATTTGCTTCTGTCGGACAGTTTCTTCATGGGTTAGCTTACTCCAGTTCTTAAAGGAGGCAACACCGAGATCTGCAATCTGAAAAATTAGACATGTCAGAGCAAGTGCTGTAATGAAGAGGAGATAAACAAGTATTTCATGCAGTGCTTAATTTTATAATTATTAATAATAATATAATAAATTACCTAAAAATTAAACACTAGAAAAAATGCAACTAAAAAAAGGAAAACAAACTATTTGCTTTTTCTGTTTTGTTTTGTTTTTTTTTGGTTGGTTGTTAGGTTTGATTTGGGTTTTTTTCCTAAATAAAGTATCACTGCCAACTGGGAACCATTAAGCTGAACCTCTATTATTAACTTAACCCCACTTGGAACAATTGCATAATGTAAGGATAGAAGAAGTTTGGTTTTGCCTGTATTGACAATCATGTTTGAGGTCTGTCTGCAGTGCTTGTGGGAGAACAGAAATTCATACAAAAAAAGCTAAGATTCAAATCTAGAAGCAATCTATGAGATGGGCAGATATCCCTCCTCCCTCACTGCCCTTTCCATTTAGATTCCATTTAACTCAACTTCCTTAGATCTTCCTACACAAAAGGGGAAAAAGGGGATCTAAACCAATGTGATGTGTATGACAAAGAGAGATGGAAAAGGATAGCATGGAATAAGTTAAAGCAGGGATACCTGGGTACTGTATGTTTGACAAGGTGACATTACCAAAACTTTAGGGTGCAGTTTTACAACTAGACTAACGGCTGTTGATGAAGAAAGAAATCCCTCCCTCCTTTTCCCAGTCTCCTATTATATGCTCCCTCTGCTCCTTTTGTTCCAGCACGGACACTTATCTGGGAAGAACTAGTGCAAGGCATGCAACCAGCTTGCTGAACCAAGTGTGCCCCAACGGAAAGGTAGCACTGCCAACAAGGTAAATAGTAATCTGCTGGTTTGGCTTCCTAAATCAGGACAGGGTGATCAGATTAGCACCAGTGCTAACACAAGGGAACAGAAGGTCAACAGGAGAGGAAAAATGAAAGAAAATGAGACTGTCTCCCTTGGCCACAGGCAGCTGTCAAACAGAGCTGTGTAACCCAATTACTTCAAGTGAAAACTGAGGTGATATCCTGGCTCACTTCTAACACACTTTTCCTTTCTCTCTTGTTGCCTCTAACTAGCTTATTGTTGTTCTTGTGTTTCTGAAGCTTTGGGCTGCATTTAGAGGTCATGTATTCAGAGGAAAATGTAGGTGACATGCTGTTGAGGAAGTAGCATGTCCAAAGAGTCTAAATTCATGTCTACAAGTGAGAGGAGGTTTAATGTGATAGAGGAAGATATGATATAAATCTTTCTACATTTGCAGTTTCCTAGAACAACTACTTCCTTTTCTAAATATTGACAGTGTTAGACATATTTAAGCAGATGGCTTAACAACAGCTGCCTTAAATGATACTTTTGATCAACCTGCTTAAGGAAATCTGATCTGATTCTGAATTTAATCTTAGGTTCCACCTCAGTTTGTCATGAAGTGTGATGATAGCCTAGTTTGGTCTGGTCCATATAAGCAAGCTGAAACCCCAAACCCCATCCAATTTATATTTAAAGCAGATCATGATGGGGTTTTTATTTTTGGAAAAATAAAAAAATTAAAAAATTCTTATCTGCAAATTGCTCATACCGCACTTGTTACTATATTAACCTCCTATATTAACAATTCACTAATTTATGTGTGAGAAATAGAAAATGACAGAGCTCTCTTCACAGAAATTTATTCTGTAGTTTCAAACTGTAATGGGGTGGTTATTTCAACAACTCACCTTGACCAGAAACAGGATATTTGATGAGGACTGCTGCATATTCCACTCAGGTTTATTCCGCAGTAGCCTCTATATCTATGTGTCTTGATCCAAACCCCCTCTAAAATTAATAGAAGGGCTTTGGAACAGGCTTATAAGCCATTCTTTGAAGTAGTGTCCTGATGTTTTTTTTCTTTTTGTAGCTGCTGGATGTCATTTTAAAAGGATGACTAAGGGAAAAAAGAGGAATACAAAAGAGGAAAAGATAATAGGCAAAAGAAGGAAAGAAATAAAAAGAAGGAGGTGAAGGCAGGAGGAGAGATTACAGCAATCTAGGACAAAAGACATGATCCATAAAACATTCCATTTTGTTTCAATCTCTGTTTTAATGTTTGTTTTACCTTTCTAGTTGTTTTGTTATTTATAGCTCATTAATTCTCAATAATATTATTTTTTAAATGCCTTTAGTGATTTTTTTTCACAGTTGGGGGAAAACTCTGCAAATCTCAGACTCAGAGGTTGTATAGGCTACCATACTTCAATGACTCATGGCTAACACTCTCTTAGTGACACTCTCGTCATGATAGCTCACTAAACTACTCTACCAATCCTACCACTTTAGGAACACTATGCAGTGCAGCTGAACTGAATTCTTCAACCCATATCACCAGCTTTCTCCATTTACATTTTAACAAGTACCTTAATGTGGAAGTCTCTGTCCACAAGGATGTTTTCTGGTTTTAAGTCTTTGTGTACAAAGCCTTGCTCATGCAGATAAAGCATTCCTTCTGTGATCTCCAGCACAAAACGCCCTTTCACTGACAAAGGCAGTGAGAGCTAAAAGAAAGAACAAGAAATGCCATCTATTAAAAAATGCAGCTACAACCATCAAATTAAAGTGCAATCTTTAAAAAAAGTTTCTTTCTCAGTCTCAAGAGTACCTCTGCTCAAGCTATGGCAAAAAGGAACTGCATTGCCAGCTAGTCGAGAGAGGTGATTGTCCACTCTACTTCACACTGGTGTGGCCTCACCTTGAGTCCTGTGTGCAGTTTTGGGCACCACAATATAAGAAGGATATAAAGCTACTGGAGAGCATCCAAAGAAGAGCTAAGAAGATGGTGGAAGGTCTAGAGGGGAAGCCATATGAGGAGTGGCTGAGGTCACTTGGTTTGTTCAGCTAAGGAAAGACCTCATCATGGTCTACAGCTTCCTCATGAGGGGAAGTGGAGGGGCAGGCACTGTTCTCTTCTCTGTGAGGACCTTTCTGGGAGAATGGCATGAAGCTGGGTCAGGTGAGGTTTAGACTGGATATTAGGTTTTTTCACCCAGAGGGTGGTTGTGATTTTTTGAGGTTATCCTGTGCAGGGCCAGGAGTTGGACTTGATGATCCTTGTGGGTCCCTTTCAACTTAGGATATTCTAGGATTTTAAGGCCCTTCTTGGATCTAAATTTTGCCATTAAAGTAAATCTAGAGTCACTCCATAATTACAGAAGCATTTTTCTTTAGAAAATTCTCCGCATATCTCTACAAACACTTCTATAACTTTTTAACCTGTAACTGCTCTGCTCCTCTGTGATGCACAGGAAAGCCATAGTCATTGTCTGCTCTAGAAAAGGCAGTGCTGCCATTGGCTTTTTAACACAGAAGGAAGAATGAGAAAATAAAGGCTCCATTCTCTGGAGAGGGCAGGAACATCCTGTCCATTTCAAGCACCTTATCAACCCTAAGAGGTGAAGTAATTGACTGCTCACTTGCTGTAGCACTTTCATCATGTTCCCCCGGTCCACATACTCCATCACAAGTGAGTAGTTTCCATCTTCCAAAATGATACCCAGTAGTTTTACCACACGGTCATGCTGCAGTCTGCGCATAATCCTGCCTTCTTCAAGGAGGGAAACATTGTATCTGTAAAACAGAAATTACATTGAACTTAGGTGCCGGGCTAGAAAGAACACAGGGATGAAAATGACATTGACTCATAAGGAAAACAGTGGCCAAAAATGTCCACATCCTTAGAGCCCCTGTATGATTAACCATACCTTCAGATGATTTTTAATTGATACAGCTTTGTTCAGGCCAGATTATATTATCTAAGACTCTACTGCCTTACACAGAGACTGTCTGCTCAGCCTGATTTTAAGGCCTGCTTTTCAGAAAGTGCATAAGCATTCTTTTTATAGGTGCACTGCTGGTTGTGTATGTCCAAATCTTTGAAAAGGGGTGGGATCAGGGTAGAGCTGAAAGAGCCTTGGAACAAGGAGGGTCAAGACCTCCTCCACTGCCTCTTGTACAGGAAACTTACAGAGGTCTCGTTTCTGAAGGGCTGATATTCATGTTCAAAATGGATTTATTATAAGGGATCCACCCACACACTGGATGATAGCATTTGCTAACAATTACTGGTTGAGGATGAGTTCAAAGCCCAACTCTTTACATGGGCCTCAGTACAACCCATCAATAATCACAGGTACATAGCTGGGAACTCAGTAAGGGTGTTAAAAAAGGATAGTATCCATTATATAATATACAAGAAAAGATGGTATTTTTACTATTGCTCCTGTTCTAGTCATCAGACAAAAGCATGTAAGAAAATCTTGACACTATATTGTTTGTTAATGCTTTCCCACCCTGTGACTTAAAAGGAAACTGCCTTTCCCTCTGTGTTCTTCCATAGTAGGAGGAGAACTGATTGTTTTGTTTGTATTAGGCTCAGTTAAAAAATTTGCAAAAGAATTTTGGTTCAGTATTTTAAGGAATGACAAAATTATGAGCCTGTCTAGTGAGAAAATAAAAACACAAACCCAAAAATAAACTTGGCAGGCTTGTCCATTTTAACTGTGTTCATCCCAAACTGTCATTGCAGTCTACAAACTACTAGAATCTCTTAATCTGCTTTCCACTGGCAAAATAAAAACTCAGTTTATTTATTATAACCCAAAGTAGAAAGAACATGGACTTTTGTCTCTCTCTAGGGGATGACTCATGGAAGAGCTTTACAATTGCTATAGCTGTGAAGTAGTAGAGCTGCAACGTGACCTGAATCCACTGAAATCAACAGCTAATTCAATCCTTGAATTAAATCAGTGGGCTTAGCTCGCTCTGCTTTTTTCTCAAGGGAGAAGGTTACATTCTTGGTATTACACATGAGCAGTTGGAATCCTGTTGGTAGTTTATGTGCATTTAGTTTCTTATCTACAGTTGGATAACTGTATTGTAAACATATCTGCAAGTCTGAAAATATCATGTGGCCACTGAGTTCCTGCATTTCCTTAAGTGTGCAAGAGTCCTCTTGATTCTTAACAATTCACAACAGTGCTTCCCTCGAAATGAAAAACAGGAACTTCACTTGAACAATAAGCTAAAATTTAAAAAGTTGTCTCGTGAGGGGAAAAAAGGAAAATTTGCAGGACAACTGCTAGCATTATCTTATTTGCCTCATATACAGTATTTCCAGAAGCCAAAGACCCAAAATTATTACACTCTATTTAGATTTATCTCCACTGAGTTTAGCAGACTTACACTAACTGAAAGATAAAAATCAGAACTGAGATCTGTAACTTACTCAGTGCGCTGTGGTCCTGTATACACTTTTTTTAATACTACATATCCATGTTTCTTGTGAAAGCATAAAGAAATGGTTCCAAATCCTCCAGCATCTAATTGTTTTTGTTCAAGCAAATCCTGGGTGTTCATGTGGATGTCTTCCAGAGACATGTTTGCAGTCTTTGTGGCTTAGCAATGAAAACTAAATCAAGTACCCTAGTGCTTCTGGACCTGTAGTATAAAGGAGGAAAAAGAAGTGTCATGATCAGGCATTTAGCTGTTCCACTAAATAAGTGTATATGTAAGCATAAACTCTTGTGACCCTTATGAACAAAGCTGGAAATCAAAGATGCTGTGGTTCTTGCAGAATCATACCTAAAGATCACAATGATTTATCCTGTCAATCCACTAGTTATATTAAGTTGATGTAAAAGCATTTCTTCACCTGAGGATCTCAAAGTGCTGTTAATAAATAGGTTTTATCCATATAATATGCAGTAGATGGGTACTGTTCCTACACTTCATATGTGCGAAACTCAAAACCTTGAAAAATCAAGGGCAGCAGTCCCAAAGGCAAGTAGTGCCCAATAATTCTGATAAATATTTATTTCACTTTCTAAATTGCCTTGACATGGGCCTGTCAGGTGCCAAGATACTTATA